CAGCTTATGGTGACTGGATCTATCAGGTAGCTCAGGCAGATGAAGCAGGTGAGTTCTTTCTGGAAGGCTTGTGTGAGGTCTAACTCCATTTCTCTGAAAGAAGAAAAGCTAAATTGCTATTATTGGACCCCAGAGATGCCAGAGACTGCAAATAATTTGCTTCCAGTTATAATTCATTCTGTGTATTGCAAAACAGGCTTCATTTTTTGTGACCAAAAATCAATATAATATAGAATTTCAGTTGCTAATCTTTCCTGTTTCACTCTTCTTAACAGAAATACAGATTGATCTGATGAACTTCTGAGCCCTACCACCTGCATCTTTTTGGAGACTCCATCGAAATTAGTGCCTTGGTTTATGGTCTGAGACAGACTTCCCAGTGCTTATGAAAAAAATATATACTGTGGAGTGATCAAATTCCTTCATGTCCACTTGCTGGCATCTCACTACTGGCATAGGTAGGTTAAACAAATGCTTCTTTGTTGTCTATTCAAGAAAGCACTTCCTACTTCACAAGGTCCCTAGTAAATGCTCTGCTTGATTTCTGATTTTAACATCTTAGTCATTCACATCCCACTGTCCCACCCCTTGACACTTGAAGGCAACATATGTTACCTGTCTTTGTTTAGCTGAAAATACCTAACAAGAATAAGAATTAATTTGGTTCATAATTCAAGGATATTGTCCATCATTGTGGTGAAGAAATGGTGACAGGAGTTTGAGGGTGCTGGTCTAATGGCATCTAAAACCAAGAAGCAGAAAACAAGGAACACTTGACACTCAGCTCCTGTTTTCTTTTTCCTTCCTTCAGTTTGAGACCTTAACCCATGAAATGATCAAGTGATCTCATGAGGATTGAGTGTGGATCTTTCCAAGTGTAGCAATTCTACCTCAAATAATCCTTCACAGACAACCCCAGATGTTCTATGTTTCTTAAAACTCAATAAATTGAATATTAGGGTACTCTGTGGGGAATCTTGTTTGTTTACCAAAGATAGATTTCTGGGTTTAGTTTAATGGATGAATCCTTGAGGCATAACTGAGGCTCTCATGACTACTGGATACTTGGTGATCTCAGCAACAGGTGGCCATTGCCCTTCTCTTTGAATATCTACATAAATGAAGAATCCTGGTTTGATTGAGGTAAATATCCACCAAAAAACTTATGCTTTTGGTGTCTGAAGCAAATGGCGTCAATGGCTTTAGCTGGTGATTCTGTATACTAAATACAATACTAATACTCATGTTGGAGACTGCAATGCTGACTTCTTTAATGTACCCAATGGCCCTTCTTCCCTTATTTTTCTGTACATTACATACTTAATTCCAAAGTAATAAATAAGTACACAGAGATAATGAAAATTGAACAGAGAACTGAAAAATTTGTACCTGATTTTAACTAGAATCTACTTTCATGATTAGAATATTTTGACTAGTTTTCTCTAATTTCATCACATATACTTCCAACCTAATAAATCAATCAATAGTAGGAATATCCAGTATTTCTAAGACCATAAAATATAACCGCACATTACTTCACACTGTGATATCTTTCTAAAAAGTTTACAGAAGGCAGGGCGGATGGTGGCACACTCCTTTAATACCAGAAGTCAGGAGGCAGAGGCAAGCAGATCTCTGTGAGTTCAAGGACTGCCTGGTCTTCAAATCGAGTTCCAGGAAAGGCACAAAGCTACACACAGAAACCCTGTCTCAAAAAACCCCCCCAAAAAAGTTTTATAACAGAAAAATACTAAAATGTTTTCCTTTGCTAAATCATGAGTTTTCACTTTTATACATATTGATAGAATATATCTCTAAACACTAGAAAATGTTGTAGCTAGAGTTTTCCTGCCTTTCCCACAGTTAGGACAAATCTCTGTCACCCGCCAGTCCCACAGCCGCTCAGACCCAACCAAGTAAACACAGAGACTTATATTGCTTACAAACTGTATGGCCGTGGCAGGCTTCTTACTAACTGCTCTTTTATCTTAAATTAACCCATTTTTATAAATCTATACCTTGCCACATGGCTGGTGGCTTACCGGCGTCTTCACATGTTGCTTGTCCTGGCAGTGGCTGCAGTGTCTCTCCTCTCAGCCTTCCGCTTCCCAGAATTCTCCTCTCTCCTTGTCCCACCTACGTCCTGCCTGGCAACCTACTTCCTGCCTGGTCACTGGCCATCAGTGTTTTATTTATATAGAACAATATCCACAGCACTTCCCCTTTTTTTCTTTTTTTTAAAAAGGAAGGTTTTAACTTTAAACATGGTAAAATTATCTATAACAAAACAATTACCGAGCAAGAATTATAGTTACAATATTAAAGAAGATGTCCTATCTATCTTACATTTTTGAGTTTAAGGTTTTATATCTAACTTATCTTTTATCATAACTGAGGAAATTACAACTATCTAGTTTTCAACCACAGCAAAATGTCAACCCATTCAGAGTATGTATTTTCTATATTATATGTGTACATTTAATTTAGGTATGTCCATGTTGCATGTATGAAGTACATAGACACGCTCTAAGAATGTCTTTAGAATTTAGAGAAAGATCAAAATTGAAAATAGAACATCAGAGCAATGAAAGACTGTATATGGATAAACTAAAATTATCTATAGCTGTAACTCACAGTATATTAACAAAGAGAGATGACCAATGGGAGCAGAATCTCTTTTGATAAATAGCAAAATATGAAGCATTTTTAAGCAGAAACTTTAGTTTGTTAATTAATTACGAACAGGAAATATCAACGACTTTCCCCCTGTAAAGTCCACTCACCCAAGAAATAGTCTCCGGTCTCAGCAGTGCTTTGAGGAGACACAGCAATATTAGCTCAGCTCTGGGGTATGATCCTCAATGTGTGGAGGAGATAGATCTAGCAGTCTAGGAATCAGAAGATATGGAGACTCACTCTGTGTGGTCTAGAGAAGAACGAAGCTGTCTGGCCCCTGGAGTGTCCTTATATACTCTCTAAAGACCACGCCCACTTCCTCCCATGGTTGCTTTAAATAATGCTTCCAATAGGCGAGTCCTTGAAAATAGCACTATTTTTAATGGACAGAAGATTGAATTAACTTTGTGGCCAATGTTCACAAGCAAACTTCCACAGTAAGGTTTCCTGAGTTCCTGCTTAGCTGGGTGTGGTAGCTCACACCTTTAATCCTAAAGTCCTAGGGATTGGGCTGCTGAAGTTGTAGGTGTGTTAGTAACTCACACCTTTAATCCTAGAGTATTAGGTATTGGGCTGCTGAAGTAGTAGGTGTTTTAGTTCAAGGACTGCCCAGGATATACAATAAGAACTTGACTTAAAAAAACACAGTAATTTTGCTACAACATTACACTATTTCTAAATATTTTGTGCTATGCTTATATTTTTGCTTTTCCTTTTGTTTTGTTTTGTTTTTATTCTTCTATCAAATGTTATAGATTTAATCATTGGAAGCAAACTAAATGGAAATGGTACAATAGAGAAGGGATACATGTCAGTGCTTTTTGGAAACTGAGATGGGACAGACTGAGGGCTGCCCCTCAATTTGATCCTTTGCAAACAAAGATATCCACAGTGCTCCTGGAACTCTGGCTCAGGAAAGGGGGAGATGGCTGGTTCTCCACATTGTAGTCACCTTGCTCAGCAATCACTCCTGACCAGCGTCTGGAGCACTACTTTGCCAGCCCTTCTTCTTGTGGCCAGAGACGATGTCATCAATCTGCAGAGGCACAACTGCACTCTCCACTGTGGTTTTGTACATTTGTAGCTTCACAGGCAGCGGCTCCCATATACCCAGCTCTTTCATGTCCCCTGATTTACCAGTCTCACCCTTCCTATCCCAGGAATCACAACTCTTCTGTGTGTGCTTGGCTCAAAGGCAGGTAAGTAAATGCATGGTACTGGCCCCAAAGTTCTGTGGCTTGAACCACAGCTCTATATGGCTATTGTTCCACACCAGTCAGGGCCTTAGATTTTTGTGTCAAGGCATGGGCCACAGGCATCTCCGAGGCTTCACGACCAGGTACCATCTGGGGGTCCAGATGAGTGTTTTGGCACACTTGCATGGCATCTTAGAGGTTGCTTTCTACTTCTGACAGTATCCCTGTAGTGGCTCATCTAAGAAGAATGGTGGGGGCTTTGGGTCTTTGCACTCAGTGAGGTACATGAAGTGTTCGTCTCCAAATTTCTTGATTTCCAATAGGCCTGTGCCTGTATTGTAGCAGGAATCTTAAAAGTTCTTATTGATAAAATCAAACCCGGAGCCAGGTATTGGGATGAACTGGAAGATCAGAGAACAAGCCACAGCTAACTTCACCTGGTCAACTTCTCAGCTGGTCTTGTTTCCTCAGACTGGAAGCTTCTGTGTCATCATCCCAATGGCTCTCAGCTGAACTGTGCTGCTTCAAAGCCTGAAAG